TAGAATTGAAGCTTTTTCTCTTGTCAAGCTTTTAGAATGTTTTTCTGTGCTCTGCTTGCTGTTTAGTGAGATGTGACCCTTACACAGATTCTGTAGCATCTCGGTATTGTGGAGCTGCATAATTTCATAGCATTTGAGGGAAACAGCTCATCTGTTTGAAATGTAGCTGGAACTAACAAATGGTTTCAGGAACAAATACATGTGTGTACATTCACATAGACATGTCCTGAACACAACAGTGTGAACTCTGTTCCATAAGCAGTCATATGATTGTCTAAGCATCTAATTAAGAATTATTAAGGTTGGAAAGACTTTTAAGATCATTGAGTCCAACCATTAACCCAGCACTGCCAAGCCCACCACTAACTCATGTCAGCTAGTGCCACATCTACATGTCTTTTAAATAGCTCCAGGGATGGTGACTCCACCACTGCCCTGGGCAGCCTCTTCCAGTGCCTGACCCACCCTTTTGGTGAAAAATTTCTTCCTAATATCCAATCTAAACCTCCCTTGGTGAGACTTGAGGCCATTTCTGCTCATCCTGGTACTTGGGAAAAGAGACTGACCCCTACCTGGCTACAGCCCCCTTTCAGGTGGTTATAGAGGGCAATAAGGTCTCCCCTGAGCCTCCTTTTCTCCAGGCTAAACACCCCCAGCTCCCTCAGCTACTCCTCATCAAACTTGTGCTCCCGCCCCTTCCCCAGCTCTGGGGGCCTCACCAGTGCCCAGTACAGGGGGACAATCACTACCCTGGTCCCACTGACCACACTACTGGTGACACAGCCCAGGTGCCATTGGCCCTCTTACCCATATGGGCACACACTGGCACATGTTCAGTTGCTGTCAACCTGCACCCCCAGGGCTGTTTTCCAGCCATTCTGCCTCAAGCCTGTATTGCTGCAGGGGTGGTGTTGACCCAGTGCTTCGTCTTGTTGAACCTCATACAGCCGACTGAACCAGCACTTGGTGATTGCTGATTCACATACAACTGCTGCCTTTTATTAACTATTGATGCAAATGATGAAATGTCAGAGATTGCAGCTTTTCACCTGAAGTCTTCGGTATTTGTGGTGTAGTGAAGGCTGAAGGAAAAGCAAAAGTAGCTGTGAAAGGCCCAAAAAGCATGCAGTGCTTTTTAATAACTTCTGAAACTGATTTCAAGCGAATGAGTCTGTGTAGTTCCTAAAGGAGTAACATGGGGAATTTTTATTTCTAGTGAAAGAATCATGAGTTTCCATGTGTTTTGTATAAAAGGCAGTAATTTTTAATGCAATTTTATTGATTAAGGCTTATAATCACTAAATCTTGCATGTCAATGTGACTCAATGGGAAACACTGTCTTTATCAATTTCCAAACAGTGGATAAATTTGTTAGTTGTGTTTCAGAAGTTATGAACTGTCAGTAGGTTTTTTCAGGCTATTATAATTTATACAGAGGAAATGATATAATTATTGTCCCTGCAGTAGTAACATGTGGATCTCTACCAAGGCTTCCGACCTAAAACAATGTAGACTTCAAAATTAATAGATTCTTATGGCTAATTTTAGTCTGAATGATTTGAAGAAAAAACATGTCCAGAATTTAGTTAAAACATATTAAAATGAAACAACTCTCAGCAGAGTTCAACCTTGCACCCAGAAGATTTTATGGGAAGCAACTGGAAACCCACAGGATATACATCCTGTCCATGGGAGAAAGGAGTCCTTGTACCCTGGACACAATTGCTATAGGACTTCATGAATGTGCCTCTACCTTTATGTGCTTCTACCTTTATGTGGTATCATCAACTTATCCTTTTTTTAGCAACTCACTGCCACCACTTTTTTTATGATCACAAAATTCTATATCGACCTGTTCCCAAACCCATTCAAGTGAAATGAAGATTAAAGTGCATTATTTTTCTGTGTTGTCTGTTGTGAGAAAAACAGTGTCCCAGTTTGCACTCTAATTATTCCAGCCTTGCAAAGGAGAAGAAAGGAAGGTGGTGCCAAAGTCCTGACTGTAGTTGTACTGGAACTTAAGTGGTGAGTCTGAATGAGAAACCCTGTGTCCTTTTCCTCCAGTGAGTTATACAACCACACTTACCTGAGAACCCATTAAATAAGATAAGCTTGGCACAATTCCCATTGGCATTGTATAGGTCTGGGGTTAGCTCAGCTGGGTTGAAATAAAACCATTAACAATGAGAAATAGTACCTGTTATATTTTAAAGACACTATTTGTAATGCCTAGTAGTAGTAGTAGTTCTATATATCTGTCAATGTGTGTGTCTTGCAGTATAAAGGTGGACCTCATTTAATTTTCTGCTTTGTTAAAACTCTGTTATCATTTCCATTTGCAATATAGTCATTAAGACACCTTTTAAAAGGCATTATGAATCTATACATTTTCATTTTTCAACAGTTAACTAATTTCTTTGGAAACAGCAGCAGAATCCTTCTTTTGAAAAAAAAATTACCTAGTTTTTAAAAACATTTACAATTGTTTTCATATTAATAGGTTGCTGTAGCCACATTCTGGAAATGTATGTGGGCTTTTCGTAGTGTGTTTACAAATATCTCACCATATCCAGGCAGCTGTCGTTATTTTATATTTGGCAAGTGGGGATATAAAGATAACATTAGAGTTTTATATAAAGCTGGAGTGTCTAGAATAGGAGCAGGATATAAAGACTTCTAAAATATTTGCTGAGAACTAATTGGAACGTGTGCTGCTTCTATGATTGCTTTGCATCAGGCCTCTGTATTTGGAGAGGAAAAAATGATAAATGTTCAGATTAGGACTGAGAGAACTTTTTTCTGCCCTGAGCTATTTCTGTTTTTTAAGAACAGTAGCTTGGATGTCTGCAAATGCTGTATTGTTTGCAATCAAACAGTGAATCGATAAAATAATAAACACAAAACACTGAAGTTAGGATTTCTCTTGGTGAATTGTGCATCTGAGGAAAAGCTTATTAAGAAACTACAAAGGCCAGTTTTATAGAACATAAAAAATAGTATTTTCCATTAGCCTTCCTGCATTTACACTGGTATTTTTTGTATTCAATTAAAATAAATCTGAAATCCCCAACATCATTTTAGATGGATGTTTCATTTTGAAGTTACAAAGAAACTTGGATAATTTTTTCGAAGATGTGTGTGACAACACTGAGATTTAAACTCCGTGATCAGTGCCCACAATTAAAGCTGAACAAATTGCTTCACTTCAGCCCTCTCTTAATCATATGCTTTGTTTCCTGTGCACAGTTCATAAACATTTTGGAGCCTGCTTTTGTGGATAAGCAAAGTATTAGTCTTTTTCATAGTCTGATTCTCAGGGTAAGATCCATTCCTTCTTCTGTGGCCCAAATATTTGGGCTCATTGAGGGTAAACAAGAGAGAGCCTGGAAAAGAGCACATCTTTGTCTGTCCTGGGAAACCACGTGGCTCTTTCATGCCCCTTGAGTGAGGGGTTGGAACAAGCAAATATCCAAGAAAATACTTAATGTACTTTATCTCATAATTGCTAAAACAACTGTGTTCTGGTCCTGTAAAGACATTCACAGGATTGATTGCAACTGGAAAGCATGGGATTCGTCTGCTTAAACGTCAGTGTATGACTGAGCAAGCTTCAACTCCTGTTATAATAAGGGGAAACCTATGTGATGGCAGTTGAGGGAATAGCCTAAAAAGCCTGTGTTTATACTCTAAATGTACCTAATCCCCACCCTCCCTTCACACACACCTTTACCATTTTTCTTTATCACACATAATAGGAATTATGAACTCCAGCACCTTATTATAAAGTCACTGTCTACTCTCTTCTACAAAAATAAACAATATATTATAATAGAAATAGAGAAAGAGGAGCCAGGCCTGAATTAGAGGTCATAGATTCGGAGTTAATTTAGAATTTGGCAGTTGACTTAGATATGATTGGCAAGGAGATTTCTAGAAGGCTGCAACTGTAAATTGGAAATAAATGGAAAAGGATTATGTGAGTGGGAGACAGCTTTGAATCTATAATGCATGTCCCGAGCCTGACTTGCTCATAAAAGAGCATGTGTTTAATGTGTCATAAAAATATTTAAGTCACATTGGTCTTTGTATAAATATTTCATTTTTAAAGTTGAATTCTGGAGTGGTTAAAAATGAACTCGGTGTGCATATCCTTCCTATCAGTATGAAGGATAAAAAAAGGATCACCAGAAACTGGGTCTTTTTTCCCCTTCCAGGCTCATATTCTCACAAGATTCTTTATGTTGTCTTTTGCGTCCAAATCAATTTTTTTTACTCTTTGCAGTATCATCTCTTTTGTTATATAGTATTCCTCTGAGAGAAGCTATGGATCCATTATATTAGGAGGCAGTTTGGAGGCAGAGTGAGTTGCTGCCAAGAAGGCATTCATGTATGAGCATGTGAATGTGGGTGGGTGACTGAGATGTCCAAAAGGGACACTCGTCTGTGTTCCTTCAGCTACTTCTGTTCCAAAGATGATGTATATCTGTAAATAGAGCGAGATATATTTTGAATGTGCCCATGTTCTGCACCATTAGTTTTTTCACTGTTGGGAAACTAAACTGCAAGAATCTGAACATCTGCTACCACCTGCCAGCTCAAGTGGCTCAAAGAAGGCGTGCCAACAGTTAAAAAAAGGCTACCTCTAAAACATTATCTTATTTTCTTTTTCCTGTTTTATTTAACTAAATACAGTCTCTTAATTTAGCTCAAAAATAATGTAGCTTGGCATTGCTGTTAGTACCATGTGGAATGGTCTCTAGGACTTTAGGAAACCATTTAGTAATGACAGAGGAAGAGGGGAGTGCCAGAGCTGCACTTTCCACATCACGCTGTACAAGCACATGGTTAATGAACCCTTTGGACATATAAACCGATGTCTGAGTCTGTATTTTCCCCATCTATAGCAGCATGTGAAATACAACTGAACTTCTCAAGTGTCACCCCAGCACATAAGACTTAGACCCCCCCCAGTTATGATTGTTTTATGCTATTCCTCCCAGGTGAAATATGTGCTTTTAAGATCCATGGACAAGAAATGCCCTTTGAAGCTGTTGTGCTGAACAAGACATCTGGAGAAGGTCGTCTTCGAGCAAAGAGTCCTATTGACTGTGAGCTGCAGAAGGAATACACATTCATCATCCAGGCCTATGACTGTGGATCAGGACCAAGTGGAACCAACTGGAAGAAATCTCACAAGTGGGTGAAAATGAGGAGAAATTTTTTTTTTTTTGCTTAGGCATACGTTTGCTCTGTAGTATATTGAAGGGCTCCTTTTCATGTTGTTGTCAGGTAGAAAGCAAATATAACAAAGATGAAATATTGTTGCAATATCCATCCATTTTTTTCATTCCTTGTTCCTTTTAGAAAATGTTTTTCTTTTTTGCTTGCTGCAGTTTGACCCGTTCTACAATGGTTCCAGTTAAAGCTTTTAATAGAATTCCTGTTCAAGTGGAGAAATGCATCTCAGGTTTTTTTCCATTCTTGCTTTCATGTTAAATACATTGACTAAACAGATCATCCAGGACAAGAAACTGGCTTTTAACTGATAATTACGAATTTTGAATAGGTTTTCTCTCTGTTCATCTCACTTCAAAAGGTAAAAACAGATAAATGACCCTCTTCTTTTAGTATATGTATGTCTCTGAGCCGCAGCAGGGTTTGCATTTGGACAGTGTGTTTCTGACCTCAGCTTTTGGACAGCAAGTCTCAGAGGAACTAAAATCCTCTGAAAGAGAGGTGTATTGAAGGTCAGTAGGTGGTACTTTTTGTTCTGGAGCCAGTTGTCTGCATAAGCTTAAGTGGTACAGGGCCTTCTTTTTCCCTTTTCATTCATGGAACTAATCTCCAGACCATTTGTCATTAAAGATGAATTTAACTTACATGTAGATGTATAAGTGCTGTACAAATTGTTCATTTTGCTGAGAGCCATTTAAGTAAATGATTTATAGTAATCATTCTTCCTTTTCCTGATCCAGGACACATGATAATTAAAAATTTAATTAGGTCTATAATGGATGCTGAAGTTTTTCAGGATATTTAAAAAGAATACGCATTTAGAAGGAAGCCTGCAATATCAAATAACTACCAAATCACAGAAACAGGTTTTACTTCATAGTATTAAGTTTTATCATGTTTCCCTCTCTCATGTCAGTAACAAGCTGGTACATTCCACTTGTGGAAAATTTGGGTCTAATCTCAACTAACTGAAATGTGGCCCATCAACACCAGACTTTGTTACCCTTTCTTGTAATGTTTTTTACAGTAAACCCCACACTAAGCTACACCCCACATTAGCTACACTAATGGCTCTGCCACTGATCTCGAAAGTCCTTTCATTTCTCAGTCCCTCTGTTACTCTGCCTATCAAACTAGAGAGCAAATTTTTTCAAAGCAAGGCCTTTAGAGTTTACTCATTAAATACTAAAGACCTCAATGGGTTACATGTACAGTGTTGTAACTAATTAAAGGATTAGATAATTATAATCAGCAGAAGAAGCCTTATTTAATAGGAAAAATGTTCATAAACTGGCCATTTTTAGGCAGTAAATATGCAAGACTACTGTAATTTCCTTCCTCTCTCTTTGCTCATTTTACACTGTAATGGTATCATTGACTTCATTTTAAGAGACAGAGTGATTTTAATAGAGAGCACCATGAAGTCCTCTCCCTACAAGTAGTGGCAATAGACTTTTACTTAGTGCCACATTAAGATACCAAATTGGGTAAATTAAACATAGAAATTCAGTAATATCTCATTTAAATAGGTACTTACAGAGTTTTCTAGATATGTTTTGTTAGTCTTTTCAAGTGTTTTCAAAAGAAACTGTTAGTGAGATGCCACGATAAAATAATTTTTCTCTTTGATGCCTTATTTACTTATTCTAGGGCAGTAGTCCACATCCAGGTAAAGGATGTCAATGAGTTTTCACCAGCATTCAAGGAGAGCGTGTACAAGGCCACTGTGACAGAGGGGAAGATCTATGACAGCATCCTGCAGGTGGAGGCCATAGACGAGGACTGTTCTCCCCAGTACAGCCAGATCTGCAACTATGAGATTGTCACGACAGATGTTCCCTTTGCCATCGACAGGAATGGTGAGTGTGGAGAGTGAACAGTCCTTAGTTCTGGGACAGAGAGCAACAATTTCTGTAGATGGTATAATTGCCTGTTGATACTACCTGGGAACCTGGCCTGAGTGTTAACTCAGGAGAGTAATCCTCTACTCATCACTGAGAATGAAGGAATTGTTACTCTGGGAAATTCCAGCCCTTTTAGGTAAGATTTGGGCAGAAAACAGCGCAGAAATTTGCTGTGGAAATTAAACCACCTGTTTTAGATGAGCAGTACGTTCCTCTGTCACTCAGTCCATCCTCTTAATTGTCTCAGATCTAGTTTCTCATCCAAGTGCTGGCATTTCCTAATGCAGCATGTAGTCCTACCTGACAGGCTTTATTCACTGGATTCTAGCTAGCCCCATTCCTCTGAGCTTTCTGGAGCAGACCCTGAATATAGAGTTGACAATATTTGAGATGCATTTATTGATTGTTAAAATTTTAGGGTTGTGGGTCCACAGATGTGCCCATTTGTGGGGCTTCCTGAAGCAGGTCCATTATTCTGCAGTATGGAAGAAAATGTGCTTTGCAGAATTAGTACCATTTTTCGTGGGTTTTGGTTTTAGTTGTTTTTCTAATATATGTAGTATTATATAGAAAATAATAAACCATATAAAGTTTTCCACATGCAGCAGTTTTTGAGCTTGATGGCCCTCTACGTCAGCTTCCTCCTTTCCCCAGCCAACTTCTCACCAGGGAGCAGCACAGAACATGACACTGTGTTTGGGAGTGGTGGCTGGGTTCCATAAAAAGTGTGTGGAACATCTTCCCTCCCATTCTCCACTTGCTTCAGACAACACAAAATAGTTTCCTGGGAACAAGCACCCTGTGTGCATACCTACCAGTGCTCTGATTTATCTTCCCTAGCAGAAGCCTTTAATCCATGTTGTATGTAAGAAAAGAGCACTGTTTGGAAGTTAAATCTGATTTTTGGCCAAATTGGAAATTGAAAGCATGCATGGAGCTCCTGTTTTCTCTGAGCAGACATTTTAATGTTGGGATTTTTTATAAAAGCTCTTTACCCTGTTCAAAAATTATTCATCTCTATTTGTGCAGTTCTTGCACAATGAGCAGCTGAGCATCACAAGGTAATAACCTGTTGGCATCAATAAATTGTAATGACATTGGGGAAAATGTTATTATACACTGAGAGGCAAGTATACGATATAGGAGGTATAATCATGATGAGTATGTTTGTGTTTGAGTAAATGAGGTCATCTGGCACAGTAATCTTTTGCCAGAGAATTGCACAAAGGATTTTTTACAGGAAGGGGGCATTTGGAAATGAGCAATTCCCTAGAAGCTTTTCCTCTCTGTGGACTTTTTTCTACCTGTGAGATTTCCCATTTTGTCATATAAGGAAGTTCTCCATGTTTCTGTTTGAAACTATTGTTTTTCCAGAGCTCTGTGGGATTTGCCTCCTGTGGGGCCTCCTGTGGGGCTGGGTACTTACACAAGTTTCATAATTTCATACCAGGTTTGTGACATATATCATGGATAAATAATACACTAAAATTAGCAAGATACAGAGTAAGTATTTCTACTGCTTGTGCTTTTTCAGCTCCTATCACACAGTGCAGCTGCCTCAGGAGTGATCATGGGTTTTTTACAGTCAGAGGCATGATCAAAAGCATGTGAAATGTCAGGAATCCTTGGTTACATCTTTGTCCTCGTGCCTGGGACCTGCTTTTCAGCAAAGGCAATGAGAAAATCATTGATTTAAACATGACTTTAAAGCTTACAGTGAATAATTGGTGTAAGGTTGTAATACTTGCAGTTTCTTGGCCATGAATTCAATTAATATTTTTTGATCTATTTGTTCACTAAAAGAACAGTGCTGCCACAACCAACAGTAATTGCAGTCTAATTTGCAAATTTTTAAGATAATGGTAATTGCTTAAACCTACTGGGATTAGAGACAGAGTTAGAATAGATGGTTACACTTTTATTTTGTGACAGAAATACATTGCTTAGTTCCAACACATTTCACTGCTGAGAATGTCTCTCTGTGGCAACTGATATAAACTTTCTCTGGTGCAAATTCTTTGGCAGTGTGCCCATTTTTTCCCCCTACGGGATGGCTAAAATAGGTGTATGAAATGCCTGGGGCTGCCTGCTAATACTGTTCTAATTAGGATTCTTGTTAATAGTTTTTTTTACCCATTGTGAACTACAAATCTGGGTTCTTGTGTCTTCTGCAGGTTATAATTTTTTCTGCTTTTTAGTAATGTAAGTGTGGAATTTCATTGCCCAGCAAGAGTATAACCAGATGCCTACAATCAAACCTAAATATTGCAGGGGGCTCAAAAAGAAGGGGTGAGGTGGGTGTGGTGGGTGGTGGTGAGGAAAATATGCCATTGTCTGTCCCAAATGGTGGATTTTTTCACCACCAACATATGAAATGAACCAAAAACACAGGTCTGTAGAAAGATGAACATGCTATTCCATCAGCTCTTTTTATTTTGGCAGATCATTGTCTTTTTAGACAGAACTTATTTTTTGTATCTACTTCCACACATGGAGCATTTCATTGTCTTGAAAATTTATATTATACATCCTAAGCCTTCGTAAGTTAGGCATCGAAAGGCACATAATATAAAGCTTCCCATTTGCATTTGGCAACTCTGGCCCTTGGTATGTGATTTCCTTGTGAATAAAATTACATTGTGTTATGAAACCATAGCACTAATAAAATTGACTCTTGTATATGATGAGCCTAACTTGGAGGGTAATGAGCTCTTAGGCATAAAATACAATCATGTAAAGGCAGAGGACAAATTTATGCTTTGCTATGCAAAGAACTGGGCCTAAAGGTACAAGTTATAATATGTTTTAAAGTACTATTGCATGCAGATTGGTGTAGTTTTCTTCTTGGCAGAGAGTCCCGATCATCATGTCAGTTATTCTCTCAATTTTGTGTAGGCTTTTTTCAGGTGACAGAAAAATTAAACCACAATTCAGGTCTGTTGTAATGCCAGGTAACAACATTTCTATGCATCTTGTGCATTTTTTTATCAGGGATCATGGTCAGATGATCAGAGAACTCAGGTATAGATACAAATTCTGCCACAACTCTGACCTACTGTCATCTTTAAAATGGGGATAACTATTATTTGCCACCCACCACTGGGAAGCACTTCTCAAATATGTGTTCAGACTGTTCAGTGTGAGGATGAGATACTTGGCTTATCTGTCCAGTCAGTAAAGGTTCTATCAGGTTACATATCTTAGAGAACAGAGGTGAACTGGACCTCACAAGGTCATCCTTTACAGCACTGAGACCTGTGATAGGAGCTGTGTAAACTTCATGTGGCCAGAAAAGTAGTGAAACTTTAAAGCTAAGCATCTGCTATTAATTTTTCTATTAAACCACAGACTCTTTCCAATTTCATTGAAAAATTAACCTCTTTGACAAGAGGAAATTCTAATCCTTCAGTGGGTTTATGGTCAAATAGAGCTCCTGGTGGCTCTTGGCCCGTGGAAATGTTGACCTGCCAATGCTGTGAGCAGGCTCGAGTCAGACCACTCGTGTAACACTATCCCTCAGCTCTTGTAAGAGTTAGGAGATTCAGTTTTATACTTTTTATGCACACAGGAAGTAAGTGTGGAATTTAAGGGGGAATTGCCATAGTAAATGAGCCAAATCTTTCCCCATTCTTGTGACTGCTCCAAAGTAAGGTGAAAGACAGCCATAAAAGAGGGATGTCTGTATCAACCTATCCCCAAAACTGGCCTTGAAGAAGCAGAGCTGTAAATGTCTGTATCCTCAGGCAGGATTTGTTTTATTCTTGTAGTCATTTATCTGGTTTTTGGATTTTTAATCTGTTATACCTCTGGGTATTTCCAGGAAAAGGCAGATATTTAGGAAGAGTGGAAAAAAAGAATATTTTATGGCCTAATTTTGAACTGTGTAGAAATATACTTACTTCTCCCATTACATTTTTCTCTTTTTAACATTAAATTCCCTGTTTGTCTCTGGGTGACATGTAAATAGAAACTTTCAGACTATCGGCTCTAAAACCTTAATTAGTCTGTATTTATAGTGCTTCCCTTCTGTGTCTACTTTTTAATCATACTGATTAAATTGTTAAAAACCAAACAATCATAAAAGATCAGAGGTAACAAAAAAATTATTAGGAAATCAATAAACTATTGGGTAACATCTGCAAGACATCCAAATGACCTTCCAGAATAACACATAATAGGGAAGATCTTTGTAGTCCAAATCTTAAAAGACCACAATGGAATACAAATCTTGGAGGAGAGATTTAGTGAAATGTAAATATGTTGTAACGATTTATAAATCTTATAGGACAGTTAATGTGCCACACAAGTTCTAGCAGTCTGCTCATGTAGGTTCAGGCAATTTGGGTTTATTGAGAATTCTCTTTGCTGATTATGGACTAAAATAATACCAAAGAGAAGCAAATAGAGAAATATAAAGATTCGTGTAAGAAATAATATTATGCAGAAAGAACAACTGAGCAGATATCAAATCAGTAATTAAGTATACATAGTGGCAGCTTTTCATTAAATGCTCTTAGGCAGCTACTAATCACGCAACTCAAGATCGTAAAACAGGTAGATTAAATTGTTTTGCCAATTGCTAATTCAAGAACAATGAGGTGGTTGGTATTGTTATTGCAGTTGCTTTTGTGGAGGGAAGAGGAGTCTACATGGCAGAACTAAACATGCCTGGTGAGATGAAGTGTACCCCAGAGACAGAACCACAGAAGCTGTAGGACACAGAACTGTTTCCATATTAGCCTTCAGCAGGTCTTCTGTTTCTCCACTTGAGACATAAAAGTAATAAGAGGGCTTGTCCTCTTCTGTGCTTGCTCTGAAAGGGAGGGAGACTCAAAGCCAACAGCAAATGGGGTATTGGGCCTGATTTTAACTGCAGATGTAACTAAGGGTTTGTTTAGACTACAGATTTTGAACCTGAATATGATGATAAATGCAAAAGAAGCCTTCCTTCAGGCCTGGTATGACAGTTTCAATTAAACTAATAAAGTTGGCTTTAATGTAGTAGTAGTAGAAAGAAAAGTGGTGGGCTCTGACAAGATAAGGAGTGTGCATCAGTGACAGAGACACCTGTTAATAGTCTTGTCAAACTAATAGAGGTTTAGTGAAAGACTTTTTTAAAGCAGTTGCATTTATTTGCTTTCTCCTGTCTTTCATTCATTTGAAGGAAAAGAAAAAAAAAAAGAAAATAAACCCCAAACCTGCAAACAATGCCTAATGTTGCATGCCTAACAACAGATACTTTGACCAGCACCTGTGGGAATCAGTTCACTGTATTTGACTAAATTCCAGGATTTGAGGGCTCCCATTTCAAATTTTGCCCAAACAACTTGATTTTGCTGATCCTTGCTTGTAAGCAGTTATTATGTGTAGCACTGATCCAGTGTAAGTTCGTTTCTTGAATTCTAGAACAAAAATCCTCAAAGAGGTGATGTAACAAACAACCCTGAGCAAAAGTGTGAAACATATTAAACAGGCTGAAGTTTCAGCTTGTATAAGAAGTAAATTTCAGTGCAAATGGACAGAATTAAAATGCTGAACTTGTTAACAGCAAAAGCATACACTCTGCACAGTATTCTTCCAGTGCTGCAGGAACTACTCTAAGATCTTTCCCTTGCTTTCTGAAAGTTCCAATGTCTTTGTTCCTGAAACAGGTAATTTGTTACCTTTATATGTGTGTCAGGTTCAGCAGATAATCTCTGTTGTGTCTGAGTTTTATTTTCATGTGATAACTGTGCTCTTGTATCAAATACTGCTAACACTAATGCAGACAGTGATTCTGGGGCTCTTTCTATTTTTAAAACCCAGGGAAAGGAGTTAAAGGGCTAAAAATGTCTCTCATCCGAAGGGTAATATATTTTGGAAAAACAGGAAGATCCTTAGGCTGGGCAGATGCTCAGCAGTGGATCTCAGGAATGTGGCTGACATGTTAAAGCAATGTATTCTGTGACAATGTGGAAGAGGAGGGTGCACTTACTCATACTTTACATTTCAAGATGTGACTGCTAATTAGTCTTACTGTCTTACTTTAGAAAGTGTTATTGAGCACATGTTTTCTAATATATTCATGCCCACATTATATACCCAGCACCTTATATTTACCTAAGAACTTCTTTATTTTTCTGACTGATTGAAAGAAAATACTTCCTATTCCTCTTAACTGTCCTGCCTGTGGATGTCCCATGTGCTTCAGAGAGTTTAAAGTCACAAAGGACTTGATTAACCAGGACCCAAATGTTACAGTCTGTGTATGCTTAGCCAAGAATGAATCTCTGAATGTTTTCTTGCATTAAATCTATAGGTAACATCAGGAACACCGAGAAACTCAGCTATGATAAACAGCACCAGTACGAGATAATGGTAACAGCTTTTGACTGTGGGCAAAAACATGCAACAGAAGATGTCTTAGTACGAGTTAATGTCAAACCAGTGTGCAAGCCAGGCTGGCAAGGTAAGATTTAATAGCTTATCTATTTTAATTTTTTTGTTGTTCAAATTTCTTTTCTTTGTTTTTTTTTTCCTCCCCCTCACAGGAAGGAAAGTGGGGTGCTTATTACAGTTGTATGTAAAACTTGCTATTTCTTATGCTCCATTCCAACAAAGTGGATAATAATCCTATGGTTGTTTACATTTTTCATGTTTCTTCTCTAGTCAGAACAAAGAACAGACTAGAAAAAGGGAGTAAGACAAATTTCTATTCTAATAAGCTACTTATAATTCAGTCTGAACATACTGGAAAGTGAAAAAAATGCTGACGATTTGCCTTTATCTTACTATTCCTTTAAATAAAACTCTTGAAGCCACCATGAGAAGGTATATTTCCCACGTGAGCCAGAGTTGTTCAGATTATCTTGTTCCAGGTACAAAATTGGCTTTCAGGAGCATTTATGAGTCAGGACACACTCACCTGGCAGTGGGAGTGAAAGGCATTTTCTATGCTGATTACTGTCTTCATATGGAGACATTTCAGGAGGAACTGATTTTCTAAAAAGGTTATAAGGATCCACACTCTGTCTGAAATGGAGAAAACCCCAGCTGGCAATGTGCTAGGAAGATAGATATGCCACTAATTACAAGGAATTAAGATGAAAATGAGGGCTGGATTAGGGACAAACCAATTGGATGTAACCATATTATGCAGATGCCGTTCAGGACTAACTTGACCTTCATAACTGTAATTTTTAACCAGAGTGATTGAGAAGGAAAAAATCAGTTTGTCTGTTGTGCTTAAAGGTAAATTGGCAGATTGACATTTAGAAGGAAAAAAAGGTTTTCTTTGTAAAAGGAGAAGCCCTGGTCTAGAGGACCTTGTAATGACATGTTTGCATGTCATTGATTCCATTTTCACAGGCCTCACTGAGAGCAGAACTACATTTCAATTCTTCAGGCATGTACTAGTTCCCCACCTACCCAAGTACTCTGAAGAACATTTTTGTTGAAAAAAATATGATACCTATGAACTATTTCCACATCTTCTAACTGATCTTATTGTTCAAAACCCCATGATTTATTCCATAAAACCAATATGGGCTCTTTACACTGTGGAAATGTTCTGTTTCCATTTCATGGAGTTATCTCAAATAAATGAAATACTCCCAGATTAGCTTGGAATTTTTATTAAAATGGGTGCAATTGATGATTATTTTTTAAAATTTCCATATTACTTCCATATTAGATATTTTACTGATTGAATAATTTTTGCAAAAATACCTATTAATGGTGTTTAAATGGTGTTTAATGATGTTTGTATTGCCCAGTATTGTCATACTTATTTCATAGTTCAAATATCATTATAGGACAGATGGTTGTTACTGGTCCCATGGGGTGCTAATAGATACCAGGTAGAAACAACCTCAAATCAGGTTTGGTTGGTTTTGGGGGTTTTTTTGATGCTTGTTTATATACAGTGTTTATAAGGTATTTAAGATTTTAATGAGAAGCTGGAATTCAGCCATTGTTCCTTTATGCATGTAAAGTTTATTTTCTTCTCTTCTACAAGTCAGATCTGTGTGTGACTCGTGTTTGGGGTAACACTAAGTACTCAATATGAGAGGCTGCCAGGTTGTTGTTTTTTCCTGTAATGGTGAGAAAATAGAGAAAATAGCATATACACAAAGCAACAAATCAACAAAAAAGAATCCAGTATGTGAGAGTTTAAAGCAGCTTGTCTAAAGCATCTCAGATGGTAAAGAATATGCCTTGATAGCACTCATTTTTGTTTATTTCTGTGGAAATTTGGCATGAATAGTCATTCTCCCTTGTGGTCTGGTGAAGCTTTATGATAGGCCTTTATCATAGGTAAAGTAAGAATATGAAATAGCTCAATATGTTCTGCTCCATCTTATTCCATGTCATCCATATGGGATTATAATTTACCATCTGTCAAACAGGTGACACCTCCCTGGCACGTCCCCAGGTCAAAGAGCAGCAAGTGCAAGGGAATATGTTTCCTACTCCGAGTATAAGGTCTTTAGATAAACAATTGGGTAGGTAGGGCTTTAGTTCTTAATTACTAAGTCATTAATTTTAACTTGAAAATGAGCTGCAACATAGTACTCCCAGAATTTTATACATTTCCCTCGAGGAGATTTTTTTATGCCTATTTATTTTTAAAGATGAAGAAATTCATAGATGTGATGTTGTTTTCCACTTTGATCCAATATCTGTAAAAATTAACTGTTGCTAGGAAAAAAAAATCAAATAAGCAAAACTTACTAAGATTATTTCCAGTAGTTAAAGAGACTAGGAATGGAGGATATTTATATTGTCCTTTCTTCCCTGTGTTTGTCACTCTGTGACCTCCCCACGAAGGGGCAGCCAGCAGGTATGCTCCATCTTCTATGAAATAATGCTATGTTTGTAAAGATTGGATGACTAAGGGAGGTAAAATAATGGGAGGTTTTTTGACAGAAAAGATAAATATTCTGAGTCTTTGGTTATAATATAGAAGTTGCTAGAATACTACATGTGATTTTTTTCTCTTGTTCTTCAGTGTTAGCTTGAACAAATAAATACTTTGAATTTCAATTTATAGCATTGGCACCTAGTTCTTAAAAGTTAATGGCTTTTGTAATTTGAAATACTGTGCACTTTTTTATGCAACTGTCATGAATAGAGATTGTAGTAGTCTAATGCAGATTCGGTGTTAAAAATTTCAGTGCAACAGGTTTCAGTGTAGATGCCCTTCAAATAACCTCCATTGTGCGGGGCTAGGACAGGGGAGAATAGGCTTTATATAAAACAATGTACAAAATTATTGCTGTTTCTCGAGGCTCGTTCCATGTGACTGACATGTACAGCAGAGCAAATAAGACTCAACAAGCCAAGGTGCTGTTCTTTAGTCAATATTCCCTTGGGTAATAGCACTGGAGTCTTCATTAAATCCAGGAGCTACTCCTTACTCTCTGATGACAGACATTAATATACAATCAACAAGCATTCCCACACAGACATTTTCAGCAAAAAAGCCTCCTCTCTACTAAGAGGCTACTTTAGAAACAAACTGGCATCAAACCATTCTGAGATTACTCTAAAATGTTATTAGTATCCTAAGCAAGGATAAAAATGTAAATCAATGAACTGAATTAATTCTTAATCAGTTATTTTAATTGGAATTTCTCATTGGTGGGTTTTGTCTACTGACTTTTAGAGCTGTGCTGCAAATTCTCTTCGTGATAGCTGTGTTTGCATTTCCATGATTTTTAAACAATGGAGTGATTACTTAGTGCCAGGTAAGTAAAGAGACTACATTATAATGGAAAGCTAAATGATAGTATTTTCTACACCACCTGCAGTTGAAGATACTTTGAGTTTTTGTTTAAAATATTTTTTAAACACAATTACTGAGTTTCCATACTAAGGAATATCTTAGTCACATTCCCTGGGGTTCTGTCCACCCCTCCAGGGCCCTGCCTTTGTTTCAGTTCTATGGACACAAAGCACACACTACATGATTTTCCTGTAGATTCACTTCCATTGTGGTTCCTTTCACTGCATTAGTTTTAATGTCACAAATACAGATTTCTGTAAAGTTACATCTGCCTTATGCAAAGCAGAGTAGATGGACTTGTGGCAACACAGTACTAAATATCCATATGGTATTTTCATTAAAAAGTGTAAGGTGAAATTAGAGTCAAAGCCCTGCAATCTAAACCAGGTTTCCTTTAGCTCATTTATGGTACTATAATATTGTCTTGTCTCGTTTCTGCTACTTTTAGGAACAGTCTTCACAAAACTCTTACCATCCCTGTGTAGTGGGCTAACAAATATAACAAATGGAAATTAAATATAAGCCAGTGTGCTGAAAGATGCAGGATAGCAGAAAATTGAAAACAATTTTTCCTTTACCGAGCTCTCTGGTGAATGATCTATTATGTAGGGAGAAAACAGAATTTAACCATCCAAAAAGGAAGGGCAGAATCATGTCCCCAGAAACTTAAAATAATATGTTTTGAGACTGTTAAACGTCTGCTCAATTATTGACAATTAAATCACAAGTCAGGTTGCTCCCTAGAATGTTATTAATTTTGGACAGAAAATAGTTATTAAAACAAAAAAACTCCTTTAAACCAACCAGCTGAATACCTCAGTAAAGTATCAGAGAACTCTGCTTTCCTCAAACAAAGAGGCAAGGCTGAATGTGTTTCTTGGGGAGATAAGTATCTAGCAAAGACAACAGTCCAAAAATTAGAAGTCACGTTGGCTCCTCTCTCCTCTTTTTATAAAGAAGACTTTTTTTTTCCTGCCAAATTTCATATGGCCTTGCATAAGCAATGGTGACTAATATCCGGTTTAAAAGACAATCACTCTGATTAGAAAACAGGATTTCACAGTATCCAGCCTCGAGTGTTTTACCAAACTGAAAAGATATACACACACACCTAACTACCTCAGGTAACAAAATAAAGTTGAAGTTCTTTAAAAATTCATCTTAAAAAAAGAGATGTTCCTGAAAAATTCACTAACTTTCTAAATAGTGTTTGCTTAAAAACAGGTTTGAAATAAAGGCTTCTCTTTGTTTATTCACCTAATAGATTCTAAAAATATTTAATGAAGGTAGTTAATGTATCAAACATAGTGCATGTCACTTCTTTTCTAAGGCATGTAGGGCTCACTTGGGTGACCTAGGGCTTTGCCACCACCAAAAGGCACATTCCTACCACCTCTTTAATGTTGAATAGTCATTCAGAGCCCGTGTACAGGTCAGGTCAGCTTGTATTTCCTCCTGAAATAAAATCTTTCTTTTGTACAGAGAAGGGCAGGACCTTTTATTTTAGTAGCAGAGTGATCTTAGATCACTGAGTCAACATACATCACAGGTGCTATTTGCAGTAGATGCTGAGTGATTTCAGGAGGGTGTTCATGTGGGCTTTTAGTAAGGTGCAATTACTGAGAAAAACCTAAACTGTATTGGCTTTTGTGCTGCCAGTGCTTTTAACAAGGAGGAATATG